TATGCTTATCTAAAATTTTCGGACTCGTATGTAAGACTTGCTCTCGGTCAAATACGGCCCGTCTACTAATTGCTCTGGCGGCCTGTTTATCTCATATACCAACGGTCAGGAATACTCATGCTCCCTGACTTAGCACACAGCGCGTTGGCCAGGAACTCCGCGGGAATTAGTAGACTATCATACTCATATAAATAAGCCATAGCTCAACAACCAATAAGCATATCTAGAGTCATAACCTTTCCATTAACATGCATAACATACTCACAGTTACTGCATGCTTTCATACATGTATCATGATCAACACATAGAACATTCTGACAATCATTTATATCATGCTTACATCACAGGCAAGCAGTCATAATATACAATAAACACTAAATATCATCAAAGCTCATCATAACATATTAAGCTCTTAATCAGGTAAACAACATACTCACATGTTGTAAAACAAGTTAAGAACTAATTCAAAGGTCGATACGCTACTTACTTGGTTGCGAACTCCTTTTCCCCCTTGAATGTACGTTTAATAGTATTTCAACACAATTCCTTCCTATTAGACCTATATTTTATCAATTTCAACATAAGTATAGACCAATTTTGATAGGACAGGTCAAAAGGAGTCGAACGGGACAAACTGGGAGCCAAAATACCTTCTCACGCGCCAACACAAGGTCGGGGTTCGTTTCTCACGCGCCTGATCCGCGCACAATCGCACTTCCACTCGCGGCCTCCCACGCGCCTCGCGTGTCCTTCAGCGCTCGTCTTCAACCTCTCCTCCCTGCAATTTTTCCCAATCTTTTCCTTTAATACCCGTTGTGTCCCGAAGCAAAAATTTCATCTCTACAGCTCGAATTTCGTTCTGATTTCTTCTACAACTTTATAGATCTTCTAACTACGGTTCTAACAAGCCTTATTTCATAACTTATTATGCAGTATGAATCAAGATATCGAGATTTAAAGGTTCGGTGATATGGGTTTTTCGTTACCTTCGAATCACCGTCCGATTCAGCTCGTGGCCGTATCCCCTTCCTCAAATGATTCCTCAGCAACAACCCCTCAAAAATTTTAAGCAACCAAAACTCGAATTCTCAAAAATTTCCTCCTCTGTTTTTCTGGGTTTTTCGCTAATCACCATTCTTCGTTTTTCTTCCTTTTTAAAGCCTAATCAAGCCCTAATACGCTTCCACATCCTCTAATCATTCACTCATCCATCCCACGCCTCCAGCTACGCGTCCGCCGCCCCTCATCCCCTTTACAGCAGCTGCTTGACGCAGCTGCTTCGTTTTTTATTTATTTATTTATTATTATTATTATTATTATTATTATTATTATTATTATTATTATTATTATTATCATTATTATTATTATCATCATCATCAAACACACAACACATAAATACAAAATACATATTATCATTATTTTAGGTTGTTACACTTAAAAAAAAAAAAACTTCATTCCCCTCTCGATATCACCGTCTAAACCTATAATTTACCTTAAAAATTAGTGTCTAAATAATTAAACCCCATAATCTTCCACTAAATTAACCAATGTACACTATATGCCTCTCCTGAGGCTTCGTACACTATACGCCTCCCCTGAGGCTTAAGGAGCTCTCAAATAACCTCCCCTTAATCAAGGCTGACTCCTTTCTCTCTGCCAAATTAACTAACGTGGGACTCACTCCCAATAATCCTCAACAATCCTATCTTCGAACAAAGTACACTACAATATGATATTAGACATTTTGAACCTAAGCTCTTGTGGCTTTGCTTTGGACTTCTCCAAAAAGTCTCCTACCAATAAATTAATCAATGTGAGACTCACTCCCAATAATCTTTAACAACCTTCCTCTCGTAAACCTCTCGTAAACCTGTGATATTCCACTCAATTAACCATCACAATAAACCCAAAAGAGGCCATAAATTACAAATTATAGAAATAAACTGAACAATGAAAGAAAGCTCATTCAAATGCTCAATGGAATCAAAACCCACCAAAACAGAGCAATCTTAAACGCAGAAATAAACAAAAAAAAATGGGAAAGATAAGAGCTTTGAACATAGAATCAAGCAAAACCAAAAGCAACCCATTATAAAACAGCGTTAATTCAACACAAACAAGAACAAAAATCAAAGAGAGAGATTAAGATCGAGCCCCTTTTTTGGTTCTTCTAGCTGTTCTTGGTGTTCTTGATGTTCTTGGTGTTCTTCCTTTTGGTTGCTCTGTTTTGTAGCTGAAGATGAAGCAGCTCCTAATTCAATGGCGGCTTTTGATTTGGATTTGTGGGTATCAAACCCATCTTCAATGAAATCTTCTGGTTGGAACTTTGGATTCCAAACCCCTTTTGTTGGGTTATCTTCTTCAGCTGATTCTTTTGATTTGATTTTGTCTCTCATTGCTTTGGTGTTTTGAATTAGAGCGAAGAACAGCTTCATTTTTTCCTCTTCATCTTCATCTTCATCTTCATCTTCTTCTTCTTCTTCATCATCATCATCATCTTCTTCAATGTTCTGCAATTTTCTTCTCTTTCTTCCTCCTTCCATGGCTCTGCTCCCAAGGGATGAGAAATGGACGAGAGAGAGAAAAAAAAAACAAAGAGAGAGAAAAACAAAGAGAGAGAAAGAGATGATTCACATTGAAATGTTGTAAAATGGGTTTTGAAAAATGTGGAAATTTTAATGAGGAGATGAAAAATGGAATTGGGATTCTTTGTCTCGATTATCCAAAAATAACAGGTCTGATGTTCAAATTTCCCTCAAATTTAATCTTTTTTTATACCATAATTTAAGAAAGAGATTCAAATAGGAACGTTTGAAATGAAGATATAAAACTATATAAACTTAAACTCGAACATGAATAAAGTTAAATTATTAGTTTAGTATCGGAGTTTCGAGTATCTAATAGGGTTTTAAACTAAATTTGAGAAATTTAGAAGTATATAATTGATTAATTGATGTATTTGATAGATCGTTTTCCTTTTTGTTTGGTAGTATGCTAATTTAAATAATTTAGAAAATGTCACAAGATTGTTCCGGGCACGCATTAAAAGAAATTGGAAATACAATTATTTAAACAAAATAATTTAAATTTCACTCTTCGTTCTATACCTCGTTACAAAGAAGATTTCAGTTAAGAAGTATTAGAAAACTCTTAAATGAACAGAAGCTAAATATGAAAATACGAAGACTCCATGAGCTATGTCTGTAATATGTCGTTGTCTTTACTATTACATGTATTAACGTGACTTGGGATAGGATCATCTAGCTTAACTCTAAATGGGTCATGAAAATCCTGATCAATTAGCCTGTAAGTTTGTCATCGGTTTTCAAAAACTATAGACTAGATAATCGTGGCCTAAACCCTAGGTTGAACCAAACTTCAACTACGTACTAGGCAGCAACGCAAATATTGAGCACAAACCACTTGGTGATGATCTCCTAACGAGTGCACGTGCGCAACCTTTTGGGGCCTAATGTCCTTATTAGCACATCGTCTGGTGTCTGGTTCTGATACCAACTGTAACGATTCAGACCCACTGATAGCAGATATTATCTTCAAGGCTTTAAAACGCGTTTGTTAGGAAAAGGTTCCACACTCTTATAAAAACATATTTCATGTCTCCTCCTTAATCAACGTGGGACATCACATTATGACTAAAATATAATTATTTTAATGTGGAGTGGTTGCTTGTGAGCCATCATATCCAACTCATTCCATAACACATATCCAAACCTACCCTACCATTTGTTAAACATAAATAAGGATTAAAATAATTATATTTATTAAATCATAATTCATTAATTTTTAAAATTATTTTAGTTCCTTTTACTTAAACTTTGAAAAATGTCTATTTTAAATACTAAATTGTCAAAAATTAATTATTTGGTCCATACTTTTTTGAAAAATGTGTTAAATGCTTCGTGTTTTTTAAATATAGTACTAACAGTTAAATATGAAATTTTTTGAACAATTTTTTAAAGATTTAAGAGTACTGTTGAAACTTTTGAAAGTTTAAAGATATTTTTAAGACAAAGTAAAAAATTTATGAGTATATTTTTTATTAATTTAGCCTCGAAACTAAAATAAACATATCTAAGAGCTAAAACATGAACAAACTAAGATTAAAACTTCAATTTTCCTTTTTTTTTCCTAAAAAATCCAGGCACTAAAATAGAATAGACAAGTTCATACACCACCAAAATAAAATAAGGTTTAAATGAAAAAGAGAGGATGATTTGACCCCAAAATGAGCAGTGATATAATGTGTGTGTGGACCATGAGCATTCTTTTCCCTTAATTTCTTGGCGGCTTGTTTTTTGATTTGTTGACTGGGGAATATCTCGAGTCTTCGTGGATCCTACACTCCCTGTTTATGGCTGCCACTAATGAAGCATGTCATTGAAAATGATTGAATAAAACCAAAAAATCTGGTGCAATGAATCTTTTACCTCAATCCATATTCTCCTCTTCGTATTCTTCATCACCGAGCAATGGCAATGATTCTGTATTCAAATAAACAAGTATATATATAGAGTGGTACAGTTCCGGTTAGAAACCACAACTCTATAATAATATGATATTGTTCACTTTGAACATAAGTTCTCGTAGGTTTGCTTTTGGTATAACATAGATACTTTCCCTGAAACTTATGTAGCTCTTGAATAGCCTCCCTTCAATCGAGGCTCGAATCCTTTCTCTAGAGCCCTTAAACAAAATACACCATTTATTTAACACTTGAGTCACTTTTAACTATACACCTTCGAGGTTAACAATTTATTTGTTCGACGCTTGAGAATTCTATTGACATAACTAAGTTAAGGGAATGACTTTAATACTATGCTAGGAATCACAACTCTCCACAATGGTATGATATTGTCCACTTTGAGCATAAGCTCTCATGGTTTTGTTTTTGGTTTTCCCAAAAAGTCTCGTACCAATGAAGATGTATTCCTTATTTATAAATTCATAATCTAGCTAATGTGGACTTCCTCCGAACAATCCAAAATAACTTTGATGCAATGACTCTGTCTATATGGTGTACAATACAATCCTCATTCTTTCATCATGTCTTAAACCAATGGGAGATCAATCCTATAAAACATTACAAGGAACTAAGTAGAGAATCGCAACCAGAAGTTGCATCATCATGTGGTTTTAGTCTACTAGGTTGAAATTTTATGACCAACTGCTTCAAATAAATGAACTAGATGGATGATGAATGTAATGATTCAACCATTTGGCAAATCTAGTGTGCCTGTTTCTTAGTGAGAGAGCTTGACATAGAATAAAATGTCCTTCTGCTTACTCCTCGACCCATCGAACTCCGTGTTTGGCCCACAGATAATAAGCTCCGATAGGACCTCTGCCACCGAACTCGTAAAGTTCGGGCTTAATGTTATTCTCCTTGATTTCATTTAGGATCGGAGTTAGGATGTTCCATGCAACTGCGAGTTCATCGCTTCTCATGAACAGATGGCTATCCCCATCAATGACATCAAGGAGAAGATGCTCATATGAATCGGGCACGTCCACGTTGTACCTACAGTAAGGAAGAAAAACTAAAATGAACAAGAGAGAATAAAGCAATATCCACATCAAAACCATGCTGCAACTAACAAAGGACAATATTTCAAATTCATGAAGCACAGACGCACTTGTCTTTGTAAAGAAGATTGAGCTCTGGAGAGTCCAGTCGCAATCCCAATCCAGGAACCTTGTTATTAACTCTGACAAGAATGGCCTCTTCAGGTATATCACGCAAAATAATCTCGTTAGTTGTAGATGCACTGTTATACCCAATGTGCTCGCGATATATGTTCCCTGGAACCTGGCGAAATTGTATACGGATCTCTACACTGCATTTGAGAGCAATTCTCCATTAAGGATGCAGGATAAGCAGAGAATATGTAGAGGAATTATCATTATGATCATACCAGAGATTTTAAACTATCATTTTCTGGGTCTAACGACTCAAGCCGATCACTAGCAGATATTGTTCGCTTTAGCCCGTTACGTATTGCCGTCAGGCTCACGGTTTTTAAAACGTGTCTACTAGGGAAAGGTTTCCACACCTTTATAAAGAGTGTTTCGTTCTCCTCCCCAACCAATGTGGGATCTCACATTGGGATTCTTTCCTCGTGTTCAGAACAGCTCTGGTAAGTATAAGATTTCATATAATGGTTTGCTTTAGCTATAACATTGCTATGCCCTAGGTATTAGAAACTGATGTTGAAATTTTAACTATTCAAGTTCTCCTTCCTTTCAGCATTTTGGTTCTTAATTTCCCTCATCAGTGGTCGTTTTCTCCTATTTTTCATTCCCCTCTTATCAATAAGTTCCCATGGTTGTATGTGTACTAACACAAAAAATCATCCATTACATTGTCATTCATATAATCTTGGGATGAGAACGAATGCCCTCCAGCAACTTTAGGATAATTTTTAGTCTCAGTGTAAGTAGTTGCTAACTTGTATGAAAAGTTTAGGGAATTTGTTAGTGTTTTCTCCCCTATAAATACTCATCATATGTAATTCACAACAACAAAGAGAATTGAAAAACATAACTGCTTAAGGTTCTTCTATTCAAAGGATCTCTCCCCTCAACTTGTTCTTTCCTATTTGTTTCGGTATATTTTGTTTGTGGGCCATATCCAACAACTAATTCTGTTGGAGGCCTACATCTTTCTGACATGCAATAGCCTTACCAAAGACAAATTTACCTGTGTTTAATTAGTCCCAAGCCCGATTTGATCAAGAAAGGAACACCGTCCCAACGTGCATTGTCAATGTACAAAGCACCAGCAAAATATGTTGGGGTCAGATCGTCGAGAAAAAGGTCAACTTTGTCCTTAGCACTAGATTTGTACTGTCCGAGAACAACATCACTAGGTTCCAATGGGCGAATGGATCTCAGAAGCTTAACCTGGAAAGAATCTACTCATTTACATTACAATGATTACACCATGCAATAGTACTTTTTCGAGAAGTCGATATTTTACCTTCTCATTTCGAATGGCTTCACCATCGAGACTAATGGGTGGTTCCATGGCAAGTAATGCGATTGTTTGTAGTATATGGCTGTGCACTATGTCCCCAATGATTCCACCACCGTCCAAAAATCTGCATGGAAGGAACTGCATACATGTTGATGATCCTGTAACATTAATTCAAGACAAAGGTAAAAGTAAAACCAGTGAACTTCCAAGTAACCTTTTTGTTTGAACTCCAAGTTCTTCCGATAAAATGACCTGTAATAATTTTTAGTTTGTTTAGTGAGTATACAGAGTGAAAGGACTAGAAATTTCTTTATAGAAATGTGTACCTGTACACTGCTTATGAATGTACGACTCCATAGTGGCTGAAAAACTAAATTAGCAAACCTTAAAACTGTAAGGTTTTCAATCAGGTTCTTCCCAAGAAGATGATCGATCCTGAAATATGACGGTTTAAAATCAATTTATTAGCTGAAATCTAAAATAACATAAGAACTATGAACAAAAAAGGGTTAGCTTTGCAATTAGGTTGTGCAAGTTCTGGGTATTAAGTGCAGTGTTAGTGATATCGAAGAACGAATGATGAGAAGACACACCTGTAAATTTGGTTTTCCTCAAATTGAGAAAGAAGAGATTTTGTCAAAAAATGAGAAGACTTCATGTCAAAGCCAAAAGGTTTCTCGATGATAACACGATTCCAACCTTTTTTTGTTTGAGCTTTACTGGAAAGAGAGAGTGCAACATCCAGAAGGGCGTCTTGTGGCACGGAGAGGTAAAATATCCTGTTTGCTTCGGAATACCTCTGCAGTATGTCACATATTTTATAACCATTAATCGACAATCATATCGAAAAATTGGACATAAGGAAATGCAAGAAAAAAAGAACTTCTCAATCAATCAATGGCCCGATGCAACCACCTCAATTTGCTCCATCAGGAAATTGAGCTTTGACATGCCCTTATTGTTGTCATAACCTCCATTTACATGGAATGTTCTACTCAGAAAAGCATCCATTTTATCACTGCAATTTTGTCTACAAAGAAACAAAATACATTTCACCAAAATTTTGTTACTAATTGTCAAACACAACGCATTCGTTTTACATTCACAATGCTGCCGAACTATCGATGAAATTCATTACAATTGACATCAGTAATTGTCAAACTCCAAAAAATTTCAAGTTTATGCAGTTGACAATCACATTTTGAAGTTCACAAGTCTGTTTTATCATAGAAATCAAGCCTTAACAAGCCTCCACTGCATGCTTGAACTTCAATGTTTTTTCCCCTTACAGTACATGGTATAACTTTAAGTTGAACATGCACTTAGTCAGCACAGAGAAAACTCGAAACATTTACAACGTACCACTCAGTGTACGTTTTACATCATTAATCAAACATGCAGATTAGAATGAGTTTTGAATTCCAATTTTCCAAACATATTGAATACTTGACAGTAAACGTATAAAGAGATTATCCAGGAAATAAATTCAGAAACATACTGATGGTCGATGCGGCAGGTTAAAGTAGCAGAAATAATCGACCGCAGTTCTTCATCTGTTATATTTTTTCTTGAATAACCAAAAATGCCAACATTCTGCAACCATGGAATATCAGAACAGCTGTAAATCAACTTTGTGTTCACATAGATATCAAACTAGTAGATGTAATCTCCATTCATTTATATTTTGCATAAGAATCTCCATTCAATTTCTTGAGGTAGATCTCTTCAATAACCTGGAATATTTTAATGCCCAGTAAAAATAATCAATACGCATACCATTCTCAACAGTACTAAAATGCGGGATGTGACATATTGATAAGACTGTTAAGCGATAAACGGAACCGAAGTCCCTTTGGCACAAGAAAGTAGCCCATTAGATAAAAATGATTGCGCAACGAAATATGGAATGTGCGTGTGGAACACATTTTAAACCGAACATGTTGAAATCAATTAAATATATGCAAGGATACAACATACAATACTCTCACGAGATATAAGAAACTAGGATATCTGTAATATCACCATACCTCAGGGAGAAAGCCACTATAATACAGCGCAAACAGTGCTGGAAAAATCTTTCTTGTTGCGAGCTCACCAGTAGCTCCAATGACAGCAATACAGAGGGATGGTACTTCTTCGTCCCCGACGATGCGGTTTGACATAAGTGACTGTGGCAAGGATCCAGAAGACCCAGAGGAATCTGGAGCATCAGATTGCAGATTCTCAGATGCTGCAGGATGTGTACTTGTTTTAGTTGTTTCAGAATTGGAATCTGATGAACAAAAATGCTTAGTTCACCAAAAAACATAACAAATATTAGATCAAAACTATAGTAAATTAGAGAATGGAAGGCAACTACGTTTACTAACCACTGGAAAGGTTGGATTTCAAGACTGCTTCAGGAACTTGCTGAGCCTGTGACGAAGTTTCCTCAAAAGGCTTATCAAACTCATCTCCTTTATGATTTTTTACAGTCTTAAACTTCTGTGTTTGTCCAGATTTCCCATTATGTTGCAGAAGGCTTAGGCTCTCACTTATCCAGAGCCTTAAGCCATGAAATATTTGGCAGAAATTGGAAGCTCTTCGCGATCGTAATCTATTCGGCGCAATCTAAATCGACTCATGAATATAAGAACACCATTACTAAGCTTAGAAACAAGAAGTTTGTTTAAAATATTAGAGAATTCCATCATAAAGGGTAGGGAAATTGATAGAGAAAGAAAGAAACCCCCAAATTTTGAATGATCTCTCACAAACTCAGCATAAAATCTCACCATATGATCAACAATCTGATAGATACTTGCATTACATCTTGTTACAGCAAATAAACCTATCTTCTTACTACGATCACTTATTTCGCTATGAATTAACAACTAATTTCATCAAGATCAAACAACTAGAAAGCAAAATTAGAAGTGAGAAACTGGAAATGAATTGAAGAAGTAGCGGAGAGAGTGAAGGATCAAGAACACTCACATGGTAGCTGCAGTGGGGGATTCTGCGGACATTGGAGCACAGGGGAATAGCACCAGGAGGAGCCGAGAAAATTGAAATGGAAAATGGCATCGAAACTTTTGTTGTTCAGTGAAGATGGTTTGATATCGGAACTCTCTCTCCTCATCCTCCTGCGTTTAGCCAGCCATGGTAGGGAACTCGAAGACGATTGCATCTGTGGAGCCGAGGTTCCGGGTGCAGGAGATTGTGGCCCATTTGTCGCCCGTTAAGCCCGCCCGGCCCAGAAAGACTGTCCAGGCCCAACATACTATTTTGGTTTTAAAGTAAAATTTAAAGTAAATGATTGTATTATTAATTACATGTCTAACACTATTTTAATTAATATTAATATTTAATCAATAGAATTAAAATTAATATGTGTTTTAATTTTTTGGTGAGAATAATATATATATATATATATAAAAAGTTAACTAATAGGTCAGATGTTTGAATCTTTCATTCCTGATGTTGTACTAAAAAAATGGTAAAAAAATCAAATATGTTCCTATAAAGAGATCTTCGGGAGACAAGTGTGTAAAAAAAAAAAAAATTACGACGACCTGAAAAGAAAATTATTACTAAAGATGAACTCTAATCGACTACACAATGCTAACATCGTACTTAAGAAAAAACATTATTAGAGATGAAACCCTAATCAACTACCCAATGCTAACATCATCGTCGAGTTTGGAACTCTGGTCGATTGATTTCACAAACATTAAACTCGAACATAATTTTGCAGCCTACAGTGCTCCATTCTTGTTGCGTATAGCTCTTTCATTGTTATTATTAGTGACGACCCACGTCCTCGATTGAAATCTTTCCTCGAAGTGAATTGAATTGAAATAGTTACAGGAAAAAAAAAACATACTTACGTACATATTATATATACCAATAATGTGAATGTGACTACTGTTTTGAACGTGTATGAGAAGAACTATCTTGAGATTCGAGCATCCGAACAACTTGGCTCATCTTTGGTCTCTTCTCGTAATCTGGATCCACACACCTCAATGCAACCAATAGAACTCTTTTCAACCCTCTTGTGGATGGCCTTCCTTCGATCCCTATTTTTGGATCCACCACTTCTTCACATCGTTTACTTCCGATCATCATTTTCAGCCAATCCACCACGTTTACCTGAACCGAGCCAATATTTCGTAAAAAAATTGAATTACGGTCAATATTTTTCAACATATTATAAAGATAGTACAAATGGATGAATTTGATATATTGTTAAACTAAAAAAAATGTACCTGTTTGGGCGGACGTCCATAGTCAACAGGATCTCTTCCTGTGATTGTTTCCACCAATACAACTCCAAAGCTATACACATCGCTCTTCTCATTCAAAAGTCCAGTATTCGCATACTCGGGAGCCACATACCTGAAAAAATAGGATACTCAAAACAACACCAAAACTAAAAGCTCGTACAAGAATATTCGATAGAGATCAATACCCAAATGTCCCCATAACTCGAGTCGTAACATGAGTCTTTCCGACCTCCATCAACTTTGCCAACCCGAAGTCGGATACTTTGGCATTGAAGTTTTCATCTATTAGTATGTTGCTAGCTTTGATGTCTCGATGCACCACCTTTGGCTCAATGGCTTCGTGCAAGTATGCAAGCCTTTGTGACATGACAAGAAAAACATCATAGGTTGTTCTAAAAAACCAGACAAAACATATGACAAGACATAGGTTGATCATTCTACTGACCCTTTGGCTGTCCCCAACATGATCTTCATTCGAGCCTCCCATGTAAGGTATCTATTCTCTCCCATTCCTTCATGTAGCCATAGCTCTAAGCTTCCATTGTTTATGTACTCATACACCAGCATCCTGAAAGTAGACCAAAGCTAAGAATAGTACTTTCTTGTGAACATCGATTAGGACCGATTATTAAGATCTGTTGAGAATTGTGAGATCCAACAATCCCACATTAGTTGGGGAGGAGAACGAAACACTCTTTATAAGGGTATGAAAACCTTTTCTTAACAGACGCGTTTTAAAGCCTTGAAGGAAACCCGAAAGGAAAAGTCCAAAGAAGACAATATCTGCTAGCGGTGGACTTGGGCTGTTACAAATGGTATCAAAGTCCGACACCGGGCGATGTGCCAGCGAGAAGACTGTTCTCCAAAGGGGTGTAGATACGAGGTAGTGTACCAGTAAGGACGCTGCGCCCCATAGGGGGGTGGATTTGGCGGGGGTCCCACATCGATTGGAGAAAGGAACGAGTGCCAGCGAGGATGCTGGGCCCAGAAGGGGGGTGGATTGTGAGATCCAATAATCTTACATTGGATGGGGAGGAGAACGAAACACCCTTTATAAGGGTGTGGAAACCTTTCCGTAGCAGACACGTTTTAAAGCCTTGAGGGGAAGCCTGAAAGGGAAATCCCAAAGAGGATAATATCTGCTAACGGTGGACTAGGGCCGCTACAAGAATTTTCATGAAAATTTGGTTCATGAATACTTTTGGTATATTCCCCACTCCGATTCGTGAATTTATTGGATTCGTTTGGTTCATCTCCCATATTGGTATATGAATCATCTCGATTCATGTATGAACATTAGTGTTGCTTTGATTCATATATGAGAATTAGTATTGTTATGCCTATATAAAAGTTTGTCTAACGTTGTTTTGAAATTTGGAGTCATTGCTATTTTGTGTTTGCGTAGAGGCAATTAGGAGAAACTAGGAGAGATTTTGTAGTGTAAGAGTGTGAGAGATACACCACTTTCGCTACAACAATCGGTATTAGAGCATTTTTGTTGGAGAGAGAGAGAGTTGTCACAATCGTACTTTTCTTGGCAGCAGACTTTGCGATTGTGTGACACTCACTCCCAACACTAAGTGAGTCAAACCAATTTGTATTCGCGTTGCCTACGGCCGGACCGGGCAACGTATGTTCAAGTGTAACAATCCAAATCCACCGCTAGCAGATACTGTCCTCTTTAGGCTTTTCCTTTCGGGCTTCCCCTCAAGGTTTTTAAAACATGTCTGCTAGAAAGAGGTTTTCACACCCTTATAAAGAAGATTTCGTTCTCCTCTCCAACCGATGTGAGAACTCATATCAAATCTTTGTCCCCATTTGAGAAGGAGGTTTTAGAAAACAGTGGCAAAGAGATTTTCAAATGCGAGTTCGAAAGTAAGAATAAGAGAAGATTTAAAAGCAAGTAAAAGTCAACACAACGACTTAAATAGCATATAACTTTTCAAGTATCGAGAATTCGAGAGAGAGAGAGGCGTCGAGTACCGATCAGTCCCTTCGATGCAGTACCCCAAAAGACGAACAAGATTCTTATGCCTAACATGCCCAATTGCCTCAACTTCCACTCTAAATTCCATCTCAGCTTGGCCTCTAAAACACACAAAAACAAAAAAAAAGTATCAATTTAACACTTCAAAATCAATCAAATCACTAATTTTACACCCAAAACTTACTGTCCATTAAAAATCTTCTTAACAGCCACTGATATCCCATTCAACAACCTCCCTTTATACACAACTCCATACCCTCCTTCTCCAATCAAATTCTCTTCTGAGAACAAATTAGTAGCCAAATCCAGCTCCCTCAATGTAAACCAATACCCCCATCCCAATCGCGACATCTCTAGCAGACCCGACAGTGGCGACGTCGAACGTCGGTTCATTGTCGTCGTCGTGACGGTGCCAGAGCTGCCTTCATCCCCTGATTGTGATCCATAGCCATAGCTCAATGGAGGAAATGATGATCCTGATTCAGTGCTGTAAGTGGTGATATGAACTGCCTTTATGTCCTTTGAATGTGATGGGATTTGTGTTAGAGGACATAAGGTGTTGGTGTTGGCGTTGGCTGCTGATGATGATGTTCTTGAGTTCTTGTTGCTTGAGGTTAAAAAGAATGAGAGTATGCAAAGGATTGAGATTATGAATAGTCCTACTCCAATTCCAATGACTTCCCATACCTTTAGACCAAGTATGCTTGTTGTCTTTGATAGCTCTTGGTTTAGATCATTCCCCATCTCGTACATCCAAAAGTGTAAAATCACCAGATCACTTTATTCTAATCTCGTTCGATAAGTTCTCCTGGTATCTGCCTTAAACTACAGGAGCGGTCTTGCATACACACATATGTAAATCATTATTACTTGCAGGATTGGAGTGTATACGAGCGAGTAGAGCTCAAGAACGGAGAAGCCTGTTATAAAGCAGTTGACTAGAAGTATCAGACTGTTGGCCTGTGAGAAGACGGCTTCTCTCGGAAAAGATGACCTAATTTCTTTTCTTTGTTTTTTGAGGAGCCCATAATGCTAAAAGGTGGAGAGAAGGAAGCCGAACCTCTTATCGACCTGAAAACATAACAAATTCTTGGTGTTGAGGGAGATTTGAGTGACACAGCGAGTGTTTTCTAAGAAGGGATTGACTTGGAAGAAGAAAATGAAATACGAACAACCGCGCGGGTGAGAACCGGGCTCGTTTTACCTGCGGAGGCTGTTGTAGTTGATTACAGGGCCAATTTCTGAAGTCCCTTTGGCACAGCCAAGCATGCTCTAAAGGCATAGAAGCAGCCATGGTTTGAAAGAACAGAAGGCATCACTGAATTGCAGCAGAGAAAGAACACTTAGAGAGCTCTGATATAAAGAAGAAATTGGCATCATAATGAGGTTTCTTGTGGCATTTGAGAGTCGAGAGAAGGTGTGAGATCCCACGTCGATTAGGAAGAAGAACGAAACATTCTTTATAAGGGCGTGGAAAGCTCTGAGAGAAAACCCGAAAAGGAAAGCTCAAAGAGGACAATATTTGTTAGCGGTGGGCTTAGGCCGTTACAAATGGTATTAGAGCCAGACACCAAGCGATGTGCTAGCAAGAAGGCTGAGCTCTGAAGGGGGGTGGACACGAAGCGGTGTTCTAATAAGGACGCTGGCTCCAAATGGGGTGGATTGTGAGATCTCATATTGATTGGGAAGGAGAACGAAACATTATTTATAAAGGTGTAGAAACCTCTACCTAGCAGACACGTTTTAAAATCTTTGAGAGAATGCCCAAAAAAGACAATATCTACTAGCAGTAGGCTTGAATTGTTACCGTGAGTCGTTATCGAGGATGATAATGACTTCTAAAATTCCATATGTTACTTGTATGCTACTTAATTTGCTCATTATTGTACATACTTTAGGTGGCAACTGCCTCACTTTTGATTGTTTCTTTTCTTAATTAAATCATCACTTTGTAAAAGAAGTAATGATTTTATTGACTCTAGCTATTAGGACTCGTTCTAACCAAGGAACTCGTATGATCTCAAAAATGACTTACATTAGCTGTGAGATCCCGCATTGATTAGAGAGGGAAATGGAGTATTCCTTAGAAACTTCTCCTTAATAGATGCAAATCATGAGGCTGATGGCGATACGTAATGGGTCAAAGCGGACAATATTCGCTAGCAGTGGGCTTAGGCTGTTACAAATGGTATCAGAGCCAGACACCGTACAATGTGCTAGCGAGGAGGCTGTGTACCAACAAAGACGCTGGAGCCCGAAGAGAAGGGAATGAGTGCCAGCGATGACACTAGACCCTGAAGGGGGTGGATTGTGAGATCCCAGATCGATTGGAGAGGCAAACAAAACATTCTTTATAAGGGTGTGGAAACCTCCCGTAGCATACACATTTTAAAACCGTGAGTCTGACAGCGATGATTTAACGGGACAAAGCATCAACAGCATCGTTGATAGATCCCACATCGGTTGGAGAGAGAAACAAAACATCTTTTATAAGGGTGTGGAAACCTCTTCCTAGAAGAGGTATCTTAAAAATCGTAGGGGAAATCTTGAAAGGAAAACCTTGAGATGACAATATCTACTAGTAGTAAGCTTGAGCGGTTACAATCGTCGTGGAAGATCTAGAAGTATTCGAATGAAGCGGGTAGAAGACAACTTGTTAGATTGAGAGTAGAAATAGCAAAGGTTTAGGTGGTGCTATTGGTAATCCATAAGGGTTAGTGGTTAATACTTAAAATCAGGGAAGGGATATGGTTGGTGGATGTCTAATTGTGTCCCATTTTGCACGATGAAATGCCTTGTTCTTCAATTTAAATCATTCATTCATGCAACTATTTGAAAGGGACATTGAATTTGGTGATGCCTTACACCAAAGATTATTAATGGAGATTTTTGGTCATTGGATGAGTTGATTTGATATCACAATAGTCGTTTGTACTCTCTCTTTCCTAATGTCTCCATCACCCACGAACCCATAAGATTTCTATGGTTATGATTATCTTGTTGATCGGAGATCTCAAGACAAGAATACTTGTTTGAGATTTGAATCACTTTATAAGTAAGATCGATCATGTCAAGCTTGAATGATTCTAAACATGCAACCTAAACTATATAGAATTGCAAAGAAACTTAGTCATTGACTAAAGGAAAAGGTAAGAACACTTAACCCTGATAATTCAAATTACCTTGTCGATCAAATATTTAAAGGCAAGAACACTTGATTGAGATTCAAATCACTCTACAATAAAGATTGATTATGTCAAGCTTAAATGATTCTAAACGCAATCTAAATTACATAAAATTGCGAATAAATTTAGACATTTGCTAAATAAAGCACAAATGCTCTTTTTACTATATTTTTCAAGTCTCATTTACAGATATAACATACATGCCTTTGTATAGTCAGTCTCACAATAAAACCCTTGACCTTTCATTAGGCATGTCAAGAGTTGTAATATTCATACTTTACGACCATAATTAACCACTATATAAATGTAACCTATGACACAAATTGAAATATTTTTTAATAATTTTAACAATATTTTCTTTACATTTTCGACCGATGTCTTGGTTAATATCTATTGTGGTTATAAAGTTCTATAATTCATGTTCAAAAGGCTACAACAAAATAAAGGTGTGCACTACTACGTTCAAATAAATATAACATTGACTAGACTTGATGTAACCATCTCGACTATGAAATCCTATCTTTATTAGTGTTATAACATTAATCATGTATGCTTGAAAGAGTAATGGCTCGAAGTGTTATTTCAAATAATGCAATTATAACAACTCGTATAATCATCGAGCTCGAAAGGGGTGGTTTCGAGCTAATCATGATGTTGTAGGAGGATTTTGTGAACAACTAGCTATGAGTGGTCACAATGAGTTGGTAGCCTATTGGAGAGGTAAGTGTTATAGACATAAAGCATGGAACATCACACCTAATGTGGCCTCACTAAGCCTACAAGCCACCTAATTTGATTGAGCTACATGCTTGGTGGCCTCATTTAGTTTAGTGGTCATTCCTCTACCTTTTCCTAGAGCTAAGACTATACATTCTAATGACTTACTTCATCGCTTCGAAAATACTACCAATATCAACATCGACATCGAAACCACGACCTTGAACCCCGAGGATTCCCAGAAGTTTTGTTTTTCACCATCCGTTGCAGGACCGGCTCCTCCTTGTTTTGCTGCCAACTGATCCCTCAGTTCCTTAATGGCTTTCTCCCGTCGATCCCCGATCTGTTACGAACCAAATGCAGTTTAGTTTCATCTATAACACGTGGGTCCAAAAAGAACGTTTTATCGACTATGAGTCTTGTCTACACTAAAGCTAATAAACCATCAAATTCTAAGCAAGTTTAGTGTTTACTCTTTGAAGTTTCCGTGTTTGAGTGCGAGCTTCTTGCAGACAGAACTCTAGCTTTAACACCCTCTTTTTCAGCTCGTGGTCAGCTCGTCGTTGTTTCTCTAACTGTTGATAAGAAAATCAAAATATATAAACGAATACGAAAGCGGTATGGTACGAGGAAGTATACCGTACACGGTATAGCCAAAGAAGTATGCATACTTGTGACTCCAACTCCTTGGTTTTAAGCTTCCAATGAGAAGACATCATCTTGATTTCATTTTTGAGTTTTGCTATCTCTTCATCTTTTGCAATCAACAGCTTGTTGATCTTCTCCACGTTTCTGGGGGAAACTTCATCTAATATCTTCCTCAATTCACAATCCTTGCTCACACCGGATTTGGCGAGAGCTTCGGTAATATCGTGCTCGACTCTCGTCACTTCATCTTTCAGCTGCTTCTGAGAAGATTCCCTTGCTTGGAGATCTTTCTGTAGGTTGTCGAGTTGTTCTTCTAACCTTTTCACACGATCTTCGTGTTCTTTTATAGACGTGTTCTTTTCATCCAATTCTTTCAAAAGCGCAACACATTGGTTCTGTGCCGATCGAGCTGATGCTGCACTTGCATCGGCAGTTGCTTGAGCGGTGGCGAGCTGTAGTCTTAGTCCATCCAACTCATGGAGATACTGTATACGACAAAGAATTGGTTACATACATCATTCTAAAGAACATAGTGATGGATTTCATCAGACCCCTTTTCCACAAATCCTTAAAAGCAAAGGAATTGGATTTACTATGAAACCATCATAAAAAATGAAAAACGAACCAAACGGTTCTGCAGCTATCAACTGTAACAGCCCGAGCCCACCACTAGCAAATATTATCTTCTTTAGGCTTTCCCTTTTGGGTTGATCATCAAGGTTTTAAAACGCGTCTATTAAGAGAGGTTTTCACACCCTTATAAGGAATGTTTTGTTTCCATCTCCAACCGATGTGGGATCTCACAAACCACCCTCTTGGGGGCCCAGCGTCCTCGCTGGCACACTACCCGGTGTCTGGCTCTAATACCGTTTGTAACAACCCAAGCCCACCACTAGCATATATTGTCCTCTTTGGGCTTTCTCTTTCGAGCTTCCCCTCAAGATTTTAAAACGCGTTTGTTAGGGAGAGGTTTCCACACCCTTATAAGAAATGTTTTGTTCCCCCTCCAACCGATGTGAGATCTTGCAATCCACCTCCCTTGGGAGCCCAGCGTCCTCACTGGAACACCGCTCAGTGCCTAGCTCTAATACCATTTGTAACAACCCAGGCCCCCCGCTAGCATATATTTTCCTCTTTGGGTTCTCTTTCAGGCTTTCCCTCAAGGTTTTAAAACGCGTCGATCAGGGAGAGGTTTCCACACCCTTATAAGAAATGTTTTGTTCCCCCTCCAACCGATGTGAGATCTCGCAATCCACCCCCCTTGGGAGCCCAGCGTCCTCACTGGAACACCGCCCAGTGCTTGGCTCTAATACCATATGTAACAACTTAAGCCCACCGCTAGCAAATATTGTCCTCTTTGGGCTTTCCCTTTCAAACTTTCCCTCAAGGTTTTAAAACGTGTCTATTAGGGAGAGGTTTTCACACCTTTATAAAGAATGCTTCGTTCCCCTCTCCAACCAATGTGCGATCTCACAATCCATCCCCCTTAAATACCCAATGTCCTCGCTAGCACACCGCCTGGTGCCTGACTCTAATTCCATCACTTTTCTTTAAGTATTAACAAATAGTAATTTATAGATTCATATAAACTTTGCCTTCATTTTCCCTCTCACCAACCAACAGCATATTCAAATCAAACAATTATTTGAATTCAAGTAATGGGAGGGAAATAACAATTAAAGTAACAACACAGTACTTTTTCCAGCTTTCCTCACATTGAAAAAGAAAGGAGCAAAACAGAGAAGGCATTCACGAAGATGAGACTAAGATGTGTAGCTTTTTGGGAACTTTATAGCCACATAGAGTAAAGTAAAGCAATCACAAGCAGAGTATGATAACCCAAACCAATAATTAATCATGAAAATTCCAGTAAGAAACAGAGTTGGGAATGGAACCTTGGTGGCAGAATTTGCAGAAGTCTTGAGC